CCTCTGGTGGGGGGTTGTTGATGAGAGGGAGCTGGTGCACACGTCAGGGCGGGGGGTGCACAGGAGGAAATCTGTACACTTTCCTCTCAGTTTTACTGTGAACATGAAACTGCTCTAAAATATGGTTTACTGATTTTTTAAAGGTTATGCTAGGAGTAGGGGACAGGAAGGACCCACACAGAAGGACACTGCTGTGTGGGGAGAAGCCCCAGTGGTGACAAGAATAAATCCAGAGGGGAGGGTGTAGCTCAAGTGGTAGAGTGTGTGCTTAGCACACAGGTCCTGGGTTCAATCCCCACTTCCTCCTCTGAAAATATACAAGTAAACCTAATTACCTCCCCCCTAAAAAAAGTTTATTGTTATAAAACATTTTTTAGAGATTTTGAAAAAGGGGGTTAGGGTATAGCTGAAGTGGTAGAGCACGTGCTTGGCGTGCACAAGGTCCTGTGTTCAATCCCCAGTGCCTCTGTTAACAGGAATACATAGATGGTGGATAGTAAATACGTAAGTAGACTGATACATAGTAAACACACAGATGGATGACACAGATGTGGACAGATGAGAGATGACTGCTAGATGGACAGAATATTTTTTACAAGGACGTACAAACAGGATATAATGGTATAGAGATAATCAATCCCCTAGGCACAGAATCACAAACCTTAGTCAGTACGTAGCCAACTGGCCGGGGACACAATGGTCCCGTCACCTGCCGGCCCATAAAGCCCCTCTCAGCGTCCTCACTGCCCTGCAGGAGATGTCGCCTTCCCCGTCTCAGCTCCTCTCCAACCACCACCTCGTTTCCACGAAAACCCAGCCAGGAGCCTCCTACAAGCAGAAGCCCCGAGGAGACGCGGCACACCACGTACCGCCTCCCAGAACCCCCGCCGTCCGGGGGGGGCCAGGCATCGGCTGCTGACCCCCCAGGAGAACTCCCCCTTCGAAGGCATCTGTGGAGGCCGCAGGGTTCCACCCGCCTCCTGGAGGAAACGCTTCCTGAGGGACGCGCTCCCCGCCGGGTGCCATCTGCCACCTGCTCCCGGTGCCTCCCGCCTCGTCTCGCGTGGCAGGAAACACAATCGAGAGAGTTTGGGTCAATCTAGAAGGCGAACAAACGGGGCTGAAACCCAGCGGCGGGCAGCGCTTCCCGGCCTGGCTTCAGGCCAGAGGTCGAACTCCTGAGCGGATCTGGCAAGGGTGCGCCCAGGAAAACAGAGGCCAGCGCCCCAACCAAGGTGCTTCCAGCCTTGGAGAAACGGACCAGGAAGCCGGAGAAAACACAGGTCCGGAATCACAGGTCCCGGAGGGCTCCGCGGCGGCACGCCCGGCCCTGCAGCCAGCAGCCCGGGTCTGCGGAGAGGAGGAGGGGACCAGAGGGCCAGGATCGTGACCCCAGCCCAACAGACCTCCGGCTGCGTGCCCGGCTGGGCTCCCACAGACGGCTGTGGTGGGGTGGTGGACGTGCCTGCCAGAGGCACGCGAGGAAAAGCATGAGCTGCCTTCCCCCCGCCGCCCGGGGCAAGGCTGCAGCCACGAGAGCTCGGAAGCAGGTGGCCGAGGGCCCCCCCGACCCCGTACAAGTCAGAGCCCGAAGGCCCAGCCACGAGTGTGCAAGATGTGCGAGGCACACAGCAGCTCGTGTTTCCAGGCAAAGGTACAAACCCGGTGCCGTTGGCCAGAGCACCTGTGAGGCATCCAAGTCTATGTCTTAATACAGGATGGTTTGTAGCATGAGGACCCACAGGGCTGCACGTTTCCAAGGAAAAGAATTCTAGTTGTTTGTCCAGGATTGGTCCAGGCTGCACCCAGCACAGCCTTCACGGGTCAATCAAGCCCCACATGTGAGGACCAGGGCCACGGAAACATCCTTTGCCCCTTGGCTGAAAACACATTTAAACGCTTGATGTAAAAGATGTCACACACACAAACACACACACACACACCACACACACACACACACACACACACACACA